TAAAGTGAAAATAAAAAAAGGTAAATTTACAAAATATAAAGAAAAATATGAAAAAGTGAAAAATAAGACGTGGTCAAAAATTAATGTTCTTGGAATATCTCAAGAACAAGAAATATCGAAAATAATAACCAGTTTCTCAAAAAAAGCCGAGTTCATTGTTTATCTTAGGAAAATATTTTTTGTTGATACTGCTGTATACAATCTTTGGCCGCGTATATTTTGGGTTGTCCGGCAGCGGAAAAGCAATAGCCGTCGGAAATGGTAAAGAATGTTGTAAAAACTTAATAACTGCTAAAATCTAGTTGTGTTAAGATATTTCGAAACTCTTTCATGGATTTTGTGATAATCTTTAAAACTTTACATTGAATTTAATTTTTGTGTAATAATAAAAATCATCTGTGTTACCTACTTTACAATAAACAACAAAATGGTGCTCACGCTTTCTATAAAAAAGTTGATGTAAATATAATAGGGTATTAAATATACTAAAAAGATTGAAACCCGCTATTGTTAAGGGTGATGATCAAACAAATTTACACACACAGGAATTTTTTTGAATATGTTAGTGAAAAAAAAACTCACGCACTGGTTTGATGAAAATCAAAACACTTTTGATTTTCAACTGAAATCGAAGCAGACGAAGCATACATTGAAGAAGAAGAAGCATAAATTCATTTTTATTTAGTTTTTGGTGAGGCAACATCACATTTTTTGCCGCAAGGTAAATGAAATATGTATGAAAAAAAAAATCATATTCGAATTTATTTAAAGGCACAGTACCAAATTTTACTTGAAATATACCAAGAAAAATATCCAGTTTTTTAATAAAACATTTTTTCATTAATAAAAAAATAAATAATTGGTTTTTACAGGAAAAATTACATTTATAATAATGGTAAAAATTGTATGCGTAACAGTATAGACACATAACGGATACAATTTTTTCATAAATTTTTTATCACCATGCGGTAAAAAAATGATGTTGCCGTCGCAAAATCTAAATAAAAATGAAATTTATGCTTCTTCTTCCTTAATGATTGCAGGAATAAATTACTAACATATAAACAATTTTTGACCAAATTTTGATGTGTTGCCATCACCCTTAATACACAAATTTTTTATACTAAACAAATTTTCTGACGATAATGCAACTAGTTAAATACGTTTAAAGTAGTTTTTGGGAAGGGACATAGTATGGGAGCTATGACCAATTATAGACCGATCGTAAAAAGTTTTTAAAGTAACATTTTTGTACATAAAAGCTATATTCAGTCAAATTATGTATCTATATCGTTATTTGGTAATAAGTAATGTGTATTTAAGAGATTTTCGGAAGAATACCTTGTATGGAAGCTGTGACTAATTGTGGACCGATAGTAAAAAAATTTCACAGTAACAAAAGCAAAATTTCTAATTTCTGTATCTATATCGTTATTTGGTAGTCATTACCAAATATGTACATTTAAGTGATTTTCGTAAGGATATCTTGTATGGGAGCTATGACTTAATATGGACCGATGGGAAAAAGAAATTCACAGCAATTCACAGTAAGATAAAATTATTTATGTAATTATTTATGCAAAATATTATATGTATATCATTACATTGTATAAAAGTAATATTTGTGCCAAAGTTTGTATGGATATCAATGTTTGGTAATGAATTATATACATACATTTATGTGTTTTTCTGAAGGGGACCTTGTATTGGGAGCTATGTGGACCGATCGGAAAAAAATTTACAGTAACATTTCTGTATATAAAAGCAATATACATATGTGTCAATTTTTTTTATAAATATCTTAATTTAATTATTTATTATTAGTAAATAAATAAATAAATTAAGATATACTAAAAAACAAATAGATAAATTAAGATAATTTGCAATCAGTTATCTGCGTTTAAGTGATTTTCGGGAGAGGACCTTGTATGGGAGCTATGACCAAATAAGGACCGATCGTGAAAAAATTTAAAAATAACATTTCTGACTACAAAAGTAATATTTTGTATGGATATCGTTATTTCGTAATAAGTTATGTGCGTTTAACCGTTTTTCTGAAGGGGACCTTGTATGGGAGCTATGACAAATTGTGGACCGATCGGAAAAAAACTTTACAGTAATATTTCTGTATATAAATAGCAATATGTTTTGCAAATTTTGTATGGATATCTTATTTAAGAAATAAGGTATGTGCGTTTAAGTGATTTTCGGGAAGGGACCTTGTGTGGTAGCTATTACCAAATATGAACCCATCGTGAAAAAATAACATTTCGGTATACAAAGGTAATATGTGTACCAAATTTTGAATAGATATCATATTTTGATAATGAGTTATGTACGTTTAAATGTTTTTATGAAGGGGACCTTGTATTGGAGCTATGCCCAATTATGAACCGATACAGAATTTTTTTCTGGATGATTTCTACTGATATAAAACTTTAACTTGTAAAACTTTGTGAAGATTTCGAGATTCAAACGGAAGTTATTAACAAAAAACTCATTTTCCGGGAATATGTACATTTGTATGGGAAGTACATATATGAAATTGTGGACCGATTCCGCCAACAGGAATAAAGCTCTTGTATAGCAACAAATGTGTGATGATTTTCATGGAGTTATTTGCACAGTTTTTGTGAAAATTACATTAAATATGTAAAAAAGCTTAATTTCTTCGGAGTTTTTTCAAATTTTGATTCATAACTTTTTCCGATGTGAACTGATTTTGCTGATTTTCAATACCAAACTGCCTAGGACAATAATAAATATTTTGGGTGAATTTCGTCAATTTTTGTTGCTTTGTGTTTACGTGAGAATGTTTTATACAGACAGACGGACGAACAGACGGGCATAGCTAGATCGAATCAGAATTTCATAAGGCCTAAGAATATATGTATATACTTTGTTGGGTCTCAGATGAATATTTCTGGGTGTTACACGCGGAATGACAAAGTTATATATACCCTCTATCACCACTGATGGTGGTGGAGGGTATAAAATATGGATAAATAGAAGTTAAGTTTTGCGAAAAAAATATAAAATAAATTCAGAAGTGATGAAATTTTGCACCAAGGTTAGTACCAAAGTATATTAATAAAGTAGCGACATCTCTTGTTGTACAACAACATCTACAACAACCACATGTATTTTGTTTTTGGAATAATTTAAGATTGTGTCAAAATAAAATTTCCTTGAACAACAATGTGAACAAAACATAAATAAAAAATATTACTTTTAAGTTAAAAATATTAACGATTTAATTATATTATTATATATTATACAATTTATTACACTTTTAAACTACTTTAAAACCACTTTTAATTCACTTTTTCAACTTTTCACAAATTTTAACAAATAGCAAAACACAATTTAAAAATGGCGACATAAACAATGTTAACAATTTTCAAAACAAACTTTGACAATTTGCTTCATTTATCTAGTTTAAAAAAAATAGTCAGCTGTTCAAGTGATGCTACTTTATTAATTTACTTTGGTTAGTACTATTGGATAGTAGGCCAGTAGGCTCTAACGGTCAAGAACTGCCGGAGTTAGAGGGGGTCAAAGTTGGATATTTTGGTCATACAGGGTTTTATTCAAATGAGTGTAACTTTTCACCTATTGGTACTAGCAAAAATTGTCCGAAGCAGTTCAGATAGCTATTTCTTCATTGTGTCCAAAATTTTTTTTAATTTTTTTTTTTTTTTTCAAAAAATCCCCCTTTATAGCAAAAACGTCTATTTTGAAAAAATAGGGAAAAATTAATTGCCAAATATTGAAAAAATCTTATTCTTAAGTTACAAAAAAATTTATAGATATCCCACTCAGATCCCATTATGGTACTAGAAAGCCCTTAAAAGAAAAAGGAGTTTTTTGAAAAAAAATTGGAAACAATGAAGAAATTAGTATCTGAACTCTTTTGGACAATTTTGGCTTGGACCAATAGGTGAAAAGTTACACTCATTTGAATAAAACCCTACTATGCAATAGAACTAACATTGGTGAAAATTTCATCCAAATCGGTAGACAGCGATTTTAAAAGTTGGGTCACTTGACGCGAAATTACCCATATACTTAGAGCGGGTTTTTGAGATGGTAATCAAATGCCAATTAATAATCAGATTAGTTAATCTAAAAATAAATATAATCTTATGTTAATCCCCTTTGATGGTTTTGAGTACAAGTTTAAACTTCGCAGTGTTGCCATACAAAACAACAGAAAACGTCACTGTTTGTTATCAAAACAATGCATATTTTATAAAAAAGAAGAAGACAATTATAAATTTAATATGAAAACTTAAATTGAAAACAAAAAAATGTATTTTGAAGTGTCCAATAATCAATAAATAGAACATTTTAATGATTATATTAATAAAAATAGTATTAATTGTTTTGCATCAGCTGTTTACACATTTGCATTAACTAATTGAGTACTCAAAATCATCTTTCGAGGATTAATTTTAATTTAATCGCTAATCTTTCACCTAAAGATTGGCCCCTAATGATTAACTTGAATAACTTACTTACATTTTCTCAGTTGAATGCTATTTTATATTCTTAGTCGAGATTTCCTGCAGATTTTCATCGTTCGATTGGCGTCAAATTGTACAGCAGTTAGTTTGTAAAACACAAATAATATAATATGACTAGTTAGTAGTTTAACATTTAAGAAAGACTATGTTAGTTTCCGTAGACAAGTCCGTCTGATATGAATAAGTAAAAAAGGCATTCGTAATTTTTTGTTTCAAATTTTATTTATAATATATAGTCATCTTTATCTATCATATTTTTTTATTTTAAATAATAGAAGAATAGCTCGGAATTTCATTTATTTATATATATATATATATATATATATATATATATATATATATATATATATATATATATATATATATATATATATATATATATATATATATATATATATAAATATTTATTCCTTTTAAATTTATTTGCTCACAAATAATTTATATTATCCAATACCCGAACATAGAAGTACACAGTTTTTTATTTTATTATTAAATATAGATTTTTTAATTACATACATTTGTTCCATTTTCTAAGTAATTGTTTCTCCTCCATTTCCAACTATGAAATTGCGAAAATTTGCAAAACATGGCTATTAAATAAGGAAAGGTTACAAAAAAGCAATCCACCAGATTTGTATGTGATGAAAATCTAAATTGTTTATCAACCTCTTTATAAACGGATGGTTCGTAATTTCCTCGAAATAAATGTTTCCGCGGAAAACTGTATTGAGTAACTAATAATAAGAAAGAATTTGTTTAAGAACTTAATAAATTTATGATGCTTAAATATAAAATAATCCACACTTTTTGTAACATAATTAACATTACATTATGAGATAATACTACTAATAAGAATTGCATTTGGTTTATTTGATCTAAATGAGCAACTACCTTCTTCCCTAAGCTTACATAACTTTAAAAATGATTAATTTCATTAGGACACTTAGCGTAGGAGGTGAATTTAATATGCCATTAAACGCTATGGCGTTCTTTCTATCATTTAATAACAAAAAAGAACATCAATTAAATTAACAAAAATATTAAATATAACTATCCCAATATACGAGTACGTTCAAACAACATTTTGAACAAAACAAAAATATCTCGTTATATACATATAAACCTTTAAAAGTTTATATACATATTGTAGGTATGTAGTTACATGACTTTTTCTATGTAATTTGAATAAACAATAGTTTTAAAATTTTGTAAATGTCATAATTAACAGTCTTCGTTTTTATGTCGCTGGGTTTTCTTTTGTTTTTTAATTCGTTTTGATATATACATTAAACTTTTGTTTTTTTTAATTGTTAATACAATTCATTATTTATTGTTTGTTTCATAATATGTATATAGTTAAAACTACTTGAGAAATCTTCTATATGGTTGTTGTAAGCTAGGAAGTAGTAGTGGTATTTGAGGAAGTGTGATAGTAGAAAGAGGATTTGAGGGAATTGGTTTTAAACTAGTAAGCCTTATCTAGTCATCCACAATCGAACACACATATTTGGAAATGAATTCGAAGTCATCACGTCCACCGGAGGGTCGTGTTTGAGAATTTTGTGTCTGTTGGGGTTGCTGGGCAGTTGAACGCCACCCCGTGGTGTTATTAGCATTTGAAGGATTATTTGTTGCATTATTGCTGTTATTTGTAGCAACATTTGACGTATTTTGTGTACTTGTATTTGGATGAGAATTATGATTGGATGGTTGATTTCCGTTTTGGCCGGTATTAGCGTTGTTGCTGCCACTGTTAGCTGAATTAATACTAGAGACATTGTTTGCGGGATTGTTAGACTGTTGATTAATCCCATTAACGTTGTTGCCACCTGGTGTCGAGGGATTTTGTGAACCTGAGGCATTGTTAACATTATTGACATTGTTGGCATTTGTATTTGAGCTGCCTCCACCACCTCCACCGACTCCTCCTGTACTATTTACTGCGGATGGGTTATTATGGCTTGAGGCTTGACCCTGTTGTGCTTGTTGTTGTTGCTGTGTGGCAGTAGTATTAGTGTTTTGTTGAGGCAAATGATGTAATATTGAATGAACTTCATTCTCGCCGGGTGATTCAGCAATAATGGTCGTGTTGCCCAAAAAGCAACTATTCAAGGTCATTTGTGCTTTTCTTGCTTCTTCACTTGTGGAGTATTTACACAGAGCTATGCCCTGATTCAAATACAAATGAAAATTCAGCAAAGGTCCGTGCTGCATACATAAGGTACGTAATGTTGAGCTATCAATCTACATATAAAAAATAAAAAATAATAATTATAAATTATTATTAAAAAAATATATATTTATATTCAAGAACACAAACACTAAAGATTTTCAAACTTTCTGTTGTGATATTAAATTCAAGTTAATACACTATGTCAATATAAAGAAATAATATGAATTAAGCGTTAAAAAGATTTTTATGTTAAAGCGGCCGAAAAAAAAAAAAAAAATAAAAAGAACACACAGTGGTATAGGAAAAAAAAAAGAGGGAAATAATTCGGTAACTTCTAAACGGTTAATCCGATTTTAATGAAATTTGGTATGCACAAAGAGGAGGTGTTGTCGAGTTTAGGTTTTGAATTTGGACCTTATAGGCCAACCAGGGGCCCGGCGGGGGGTCCTCAAATTAGGACACCTCGGCTATGTTAAATTTTTAAAACGATCCTATTTCTTCATTTGAGTTCCGATTTAAAAAAAAAATCGTATATAGAATCTCCTCATCGAGCAGTATATTATCTTATTTTAAGATTTGATGACCCTCACGAATTCCATAATAATAGGTCCTCATATGACCCTAGCCCCTATGAAAAGCCCCCATCAAAATTTCAATTAAATGTCCACAATTTTATTCAACAATAAACGGCTTAAGTATGTATATCTGAGGCAAGGTACAATTCAATTTAAATGCTTTATTATGGCAAATAAATCACATTATATTTTTGTCAGAGGTGTAGGGTATTATATGGTCGGCCTCGCCCGACTATAATTTCATACTTGTTTTACTTTGAATTCAGACAGATCGAATAATACCAGAAGATGAAATGTATTCTAACGTTCGAAAGTCGTTCTTATGATAGACATAAAAAACATGAAATCAACAAGTAAGAGTGTTATATACAGCAATGCAGAATATTATATACCCATAGAATGCTCCCTATAAACAATAGGGCTTAACACAATTATGGACACAGCCCTTTCGGATTAACATAATATACATTTTTAAAAACAACATATTTTTGTCCAATTTTTAAATCACACATATATATATATATATATATATATATATATATATATATATATATATATATGTGCGGTAGGGCGGATTGTCGTAAAATTTGCTAGATAGATTTTGGTTCATATAACACTTATTTGTAGCGTTAAAGAAATTTTCTCAATGGGGCCGTATTGAAATTACAAAGATTAACGTTCCTATAATTGTGGCTTACGTCGAATTTTATAATTTCTTCGCTATACTGGTATTTTTAAGCCAGTAATGAGCTTTAAAGTCATTTTCTGAAGGGAACCTTATAAAAGGGGGGTTATGGTCAATTATGAACCGATCCTCATACAAATCTTCCTACCAGATTTTGGCACGTATTAAATTTATTTGTGTCGAATTTCATCGCTCGTATTTATAAACCAGTAATGAGCTTCAAAGTCATTTTATGAAGGGGACCTTATATGGGGGTAGGGTAAATTACGGTGTAAGAACACAACACGCGGCAACGCGTTATAGGCTTCAGTCAAAAAAAGTCGAAATAGTGTATTTTCATTTAACAAATTACACACTGTAGTTTGTAACACGTCTGCCGACAAAAGTTCAGCAACTTTCAACTTTTGACGCGTCGGCAGCTGATCAGGGTTGTATTTTGTTTTGTGTAGAATAAGAATAAACTAGATATGAGCAAGTAAGATAAGTTTACTGAAACAAAAAACTTCGATTAAAATAGTTTTAATAAAAAAATGTAGATTATATTTATAAGAAAAACCTGGCCTTATAAGCAGTTTTTATTGAACTTTTATTACTTACAATTATATGTAACAGATAATATTACAAATATTTTAATTGTAATTGATAAAAATTTTTAATTTTTTGCATTTATTTTTATTTTGGCTATAGTGTCCTTATATTACTGAATATTAAATCCTGTCTGTTTGTTACGCTTTCACTGTCAAACTACTGAACCGATTTACATGAAATTTAGAACACTAATAGTTCTATTCTAAAGTGGAGCAATAGGCTATATAAAATCATGATTGGACGTCACTTTTCTTCTTATGCTCACTTTTTTCTATATAATTGTTATACAAAATTTTCATTCGAGACTTACAGAAAACCAATTTACATGAAATTTGGTATACCGATAGGCCTGATCTCAGGAGAAACTATAAACTATATAAAATCTGGATCGGACGCCACGCCACTTTTTAATGCCATCTTTTTGTAAAAAAAATTATTATACCAAATTTACGTTCAAATATACAAAAAAGTACTAATCCGATTTTCATGAAATGAATGTTGTGGAATGAACAGTATGACACATTACATCTTCAAAACGTATAATATATAATAATAAATATATATGAGACTCTTTTTTTACTCTTTCACTGCATAATTACTAAACCGATTTACATAAAATTCGGCATATTAATAGGTCTAACCTCAGAAGTTAAAAATCATTCTAAATGATATTGATTAGATGCTACGCACATTTGTATGTTCATTTTTAGAATAAAAGCTATAACACCAAATTTCTATGCTAAATATAAAAAAACATGAACCAATTTTCAAGAAATTTGCAACAGACAGTGTATTTTTGGAATTAACTTTTTTGATCTGGAGTTTATGCTTCATGAAATTTTGCATGACACTAGTTCTATCGTGGAAGGTTAGGTTAGTTTGAGGAAGAGAATGTTTAATACATCAAATCCGAATAAATACACCTATACCACTAATTTCGGGCCTGTTCTGATCTTAATGAAATGCAATGACCTTTTTCCGTCCATTTCTTATAGTATATGAGAATTATTATTTAGGTAGTTAAAATTTTAATCAAAAATTTATTTTTATTTGAAAACTCTAAAATGTTTGTAGGTCCTTAATTTACTTTACGATTCTTATTTCAAAACCTGTAATCCGCTGTATATCCTCAAAAAATAAATAGTTTACTACGATCAAAAAATAGCATATTGAATATTTTTATCAAAATTATATTGTTGTAGATCCGCATACATATGTATATTACTCCCATCACTTATATTTTCCACCGGAAAACTATTTTTATTTCAAAACCTGTAATCTGCTGTATATCCTCAGGAAATACAAATTTTAAAAGAGAATCGGATGTAGTTTCCTCGAGAAAACTATAAACCAACGGTTCCCAAAAGGGGGTCCGCGGACCCCTAGTGGTCCGTAGCAAAATCCTAGGGGGTCCGCGAAGACGAACGAAAAAAATCATGAATAAAAAATATTCTCTATATGTTACAAAATATTAAAAATATCTCCAAATTTTTCATAAATACTAAAATACACAATTTTTATTCAATAATCCCAGATTTGTTGGTGACTCTTTGAATTTTATTGTTTCGGTCGTTTATCAGGATGAAGCTAGGCCCTACAAATTTATTGTTTCACTTTTATAAAGTAAAGTATTACGTGATTTGTAATTTTTTTAAATATATATGTATCGAAATAAATGTTTTTATAGCAGACGGATAATGATTTGCCTTAGAATTAAATACTGATACTGGTATCCCGGAATATGAAGTTAGGTCACATTTCATAATATTTTTTTAAATTGTAAGCAAAAGTGTTAATCTAGTTAATTTTAAATATAAATATTCCATTCCAACGTGATACACAGATTTTAACTTCATTTTGTTGTCCAATATTACTAATCAACATCAGAAAATTCATAGCGTTTTGCGTAAATAGTCAAAACCACGCAGTAAAATAATTCGTAGGTATTTTAAAATTCAAATTTAAGATCCAAATTCACAGTACATTCGCAAAGAGTTCAGGTCATATTTTATGTGGGTAACGCATTCCGCAACAACATCGAAGAAGTCTAACTTTCACATATTTTCCCGAAAACTTAGCTTACATACTCAGCTCACTCCTATGCAATCGCAAAAAAATTTAGAAACATGACTCTTTAAGCACATGTCGACAATACTTGTTAAAGAAACATTTTCTCTACCTTGACGAAAAATGAACATGAAAGCTCTCACGATCATAAAATTAAACATCATGTTAGAAGTCATTATATATTTAAAACCATGAAATTGAAAACATCTCCGAAATACTAAATGTTCTCAATGTACGGGAATATTTTATAGGGTTTATGGACCAGGACTAAGACAATTTTCGGACGAACAATTACACAGTGATACAGCAAAAAAATGCAGGGGTTCTCATATACCAATTCCATTTCGTTATAGTCCATAGAGTAGGAATTTATTTTTAATTTTTCCCGATCACTTCGTTTAGTTCCTTTTTAAGAGCAAAAGTTGTGAAAAAGAGCTATTTTTGAAGTTTTAACTTTAAAAAAAATATATGATTGGTAGTTTGCAACCGATTTTCTAATTGGATATTTTGTTTTAAAGATACAAGTGTTGTTTTTCAACCCAAAAAAATAAATCCAAAATTTATGATTAATGTCTTGGTTACGGCCATTTAAGTAAAAAAACTCACACTTTTTTCACAATTTTTAATTTTCATACTGCTCTACGTTGGCCATGAAGCAGTAACTTTAGCTTTTATTACATTTGAAACAAGTAGGAAAGTATAGTCGGGCATGGCCGACCATATAACACCCTACACCATGAGTATATTTTAAAAATTTTTATTTTTCACAAAGAAACTTTTATGTTGAATTTTACCTTAATTCCAAAGTATTTAAGCAATTTATTGATAAAAACCAAATTTTCTAAATGAGGCTTTATATAGAAGTATAAGTCAATCATGAGCCGATCCTCATTAAATTTTGGAAAAGGATATATTTTTAAATAATAGTTAATTATGTTGAGTTTCATTGCGATACAAATGGTTACAAGTCAATTTTAGACGTTTAAGACATTTTTTGAAGGGGGGTTTGTATGGGGGCTAGGGTCAAATAAGGGGCGATCATTACGAAAATCTGCAGTGTAATTTATACTTATATAAAACTTATTTGTGCCAATTTTTAGAGAGATATCAGTATATTTGACGTAATTATGGCATAAAAAGCCCAAATCGGGAGGTA